CTCTCTCTCTCTCTCTCTCGCTGGCATCACACCGCGCCGCACCAGTCACACGCCGTCACACGCAGGCAGTCGCAGGCAGTCGCAAGCAGTCACAGGCAGATGCACGCAGTCGCACTGGCTCAGAGGGGGAGAGTAAGTTTGAGTGGCGGTGGGTTGCGCTTGCGGTAGGGCTCAGCCGAAAGGAAGGTGCTCGAGTGCAGGAGGAGGTGCAGCTGTTGCGGCGCAGCAGGCATGTCAAATGAAGCCTGACGCAAGTGGGCGAGGCTCGCGCGCGCACTCGCACTCGCTCTCTGTGATAGGCTCGCTCGCTCTCTCTCTCGCCCTGCGCAGCACCGCCGAGGCTTAGCGCCACCCGACGAGTATTGGAGCAGGAGGCGGGCCGAGCAGCGTGCATTTGGGTGGGTATCGTGATCCGCGTTGCATCGGCACGAGGCAGGGGCCGCTTGCAGAGGCAAGGGGCCAGCTGCAGCACTTTGTCCACTTATCGGACAGCCCGAGAGCAACACCCAAAAAAAAAAGCTTTAAAAAAAGATAGGGTGTTGCCAAGGGTCGTCGGAAGGGCGGGCTCGATCCAGTGTGAAACCGATGGCGCTTTTTTTTTTGGTCTCGAGAGCGGCCTCGTGATTGTTTGCGACGGCCCGCTTGGTGTGACGCGTACGGATAGGCTGCGGATGTGGGCAGCTGCATATTCTTACGCGCCTCCCGCCCGTTGGACAGTTGAGACAACCCAGCGGATTTTCCCTGCAACCTCTTTTCTTTGCTGCTCAACTCTACGTAAACGCGACGTCAGACCGAGGTGTCGGTAGGATGCCGGCATCACTCCCCTCTGGCTTACGCTGAATGCTCGACCCTGCGCCACTGCGGTGCGGATTCAGTGTGGCGGGGCTGACCATCATTTTTTTTTCTCGTTGCGTGTGCATCAAGTCGGATTTTCTCGTGCATCAGACGTGCATCGAATTGGGAATGCTGCGCTTTCTCGACATCTCCGTCGGCGTTCTTCCGTCTCCTATTCCCACCTCTGCCTATGATGCTCTTGGCCCTACGCTTGGACCTTTTGGCCCGATCACCTCACGCCAGATGAAGAAGTCGACGATATTGTAATCGGTCGGATGCCGTTGTGGACGTCTCTGCGAACGGTGCCGAACGTCGCGTCTCGCTTGCATCTTTGCAAGGGCGATCAGGGTTCACCAACCGGGCCTTGTTTTCTTTTTCTTTTTTTCTCTCTTTATTTCATTTTTCTCCAGCTGCACCGATCCCCTGACGGAATCCAAGGCAGCGTCCGAACGCCCGACGTCGCGCGTGCGTGCTGGGTGTGATCTTGCATCTGACAGCTTGGCATTGGCAGCTCGAGCTCATGCTGGGCAACTTGCACGAAACCTTCTCCCTACACAGCCTGGCAAATGCTACTGGTCGCATCGAGCCTGATGCGAGTTCGTGCAAAGCTCCAATCTCTACTGCAGGTGTCAGTTGAAGGGTCGCAGCAACACCGCAAGTCCAAGATTGGTGGTGTGGCTGCGCGTTTTCTGCACGGAGCTCTCTCTCATTGAAATTTTCCGTAGCGGCGCTCGAAAAAAAAAAGGCCACAGCCAGACGGATCGATAGCGCCGGAACCCCCTCTCCTCCTCTGCATTGACCGTCAAATCGTTTGCGAGAAGGGACGAGTGCGATGCCTGCACGTCGGAAGCATGCGCAGCGCGCTAGAAGAACAAAAGCGACGAGTCATTCGGCTCTGGCGAGGCGACAGACGAGGTGCATGCGCCATGCACGAGCTGCATCCTGATCGACCCGCTGCAGCCAATAAGACAGCCAACACGCACACCCACCGCCCGCCCCCTTTGATTCCACCCATCGGGGCGCCCCGAGTTCAGTTCGCAAAACTTGACCACCCGCTTGGATCGTGAAGCTGTCAGACCGGCGTCTTGTAAGTGAGTGTGTCTGTAAAGGATCTAACACTTTGAACTGGCGCGCTCTTTTTCACGCGGCCGACTGTGGAAGGCGGATTTGCGATTGGGGGCGGCGGCTTCTGTTGCTTTCGCCTCCACACTGCCTCCCTCTGTTTCGCCGCAATTGGAAGGCAGGCGGAGGCGCAGTGCAAATTCTTCCTCTCGTCCGGTCGATCGAGTGAGGCGGAAAAGCGAGTGGACGAGTGGCCCGTCCGTCCAGCACGGATCAAGTGCCGCGTGCTCTCCCTCGTCATCCTTCCAACCGCATCCATCCATCTCTCTCTCTATAAACGTGGACGAGCCCTCCTCCTTTGGATCCTCTCACCTTTGCCATCAATCACAATGGCTACCAACGGAGGCCGCTTTGCCTCGCGTACCGCCTTCGAGGCACTCCAGGTCGAGGAAATCGAGTCGGACGAGGAAGAGGTCGTCGAGCAGCAGCAGCCTCAAAAGGTCTCTTCGCCTGCAAAGCCTTCCGCAGCCGCCGCCAAGAAGCAGGCTGCAAAGGACCAGGCTGCCAGCGCCAAGGCTGAGTCGACCGCCAAGCCGTTGCACCCTGCGAGCACCCCCAACGCCAACGCCGACGATGCCGCTGCACCTTCTCCCGTAGCTCAACTCTCCAACGGCTCCAACGGCTCCAACGGCTCCAACGGC